GGAGATTGCATCTTCGCATCTGCTGGTGGCGACGATCACTACGATCGCATCGCATGTGGACTGCGCCCTTGGGCGCGCATGGCGAATGCCCATGTTTCACCCCCAGCTGATGGCGGCAACTGCGATGCTGGAGAAGTTGCAAGAGTACTTCAATGCGCTGAACGAGGCGGTGATGGGCAAAAGGCTAGGCGCCGCTCCCTTCAGCATGATTGCTGGGCATCTGGATCCGGCGTTGCGGACTATTCCAACGAGGGGCCCGACACATTGGCGCAGTCGGCGGCCGAGATCATGCTTTCTCATGTTTCGGCGTTGTCTCACACGGGGTCTGTTGCCGATAGGCAACGGATCATTGGAAGAGATGGCAACCCGTTCGGGAAGTCATGGTTTGAGGATGAGCCTGACGGAGCAACCTGGCCTGGGCATCACATGGCTGGAGGTGTCGCTGTTCCCCTAAAGCCGAAGACGAAGTTCGTTTGGGGAAAGAGGCCACATGTGGATGACGAGGATGAACAGGACCCGGAGGCGAGTTCATCAGGGCAGAAGAGAACTGAGCAGCCGTGCCAGAAAAGGGCGATGATGTCACGCTTCCTGACATAGGGAAGCTATCCATGGCGGAGGAGAAGAAGGACGACATGGAGGTGGACGCAGGTGCTTCCAAGAAGGATTTCTCTGGAAAGCCTACGCCTCGGGATACTGAGGCTGGGAAGGCAGACCAGAGTAAGATGAACAACTTCTCGGGGGCTACTTTCGAGGAGTACGTGAAGACTGCCCCGACCTACGAGTACAGCGGAGAAGGAGACGACAAGCGGCTCCTTCCCAAGAACTCTCCTATCAACATGGAGAAGCCCCTGCCCGCTGAGGCGGCGATCTTGATTCCCAGGTGTGTGGCCACGCAAGAGGAAGCTGAAGCGGCCGAGAGAGCCACCATGGAGGCTATCCGTGGAGATGCGAGCTTCTGGACTGTCAGGCGGATAGGGAGGCGGTCGATCCCGACACGGTGACGACCGAGGACCTAACGACGTCGATAGACGCGTTGACGAGGAGGCTGAGCGATATGCCCGAATATTCGGGCAACTTGCTCGATCCAGACAGGTCTGCAGAGCTGGTGGCGGCGAGATGGGGCGGAGTGGCGAGTTACGACAAGCCGGGGGCTCCGCTCACCGAGGCCGGGATGAAGAGTGCGACGCAAGAGGATCGTGCTTACGCCCTGACGCAGCTGAATGAAGTGGTGAACTTTCACAAGAAGCACTTGTGCTTTGGACGAGGGGCACCTTCATTGGGCGCATCCGCTCCGACCGACCCATTCGCCCCTAGCCAGATCGACGATAGTCGGAAGTTTCGCCCAAGCAAGATGGCTAGCAAGGTGACGTACAACCTCGTGGTGTTGGACGGGAAGAAGGATTACCTTGCCGATAGGCAGGAAATCAAAGCGGAAATGCGGTCTTCTGGGTTTGTGCCTGATGAGGCCATCACTTGTCAGGTGGTGGTCCCTTCAAAGAGCAAGATGGGCGATTACGTCCCGGGCTATGACCAGGCAGCAACGGCCTCGACCACTGGGCGTGAGGCTGCGAAGGCTCTGATGAAGCTGCTTTCGTGTGAGTTTGACGATTTGGTCATCAACTCGAAGAGGGTCTCGGAGTTATTCGAGCAAAAGGTGCTGAAGGAGACTGGACAAGAACCAGGAAACTGGGTAAATGTCGATCAGGCAGTCTGGTTTCTGAAGGAAGTCGTGGGGATGGAGAACGCTGAAATGACGTGGAAGTTCTTCAACCCGGTGACCAAGGCTCTCCCGATAGGGCAGGTCGAAGTGATGCTGATCGTCATGTATGATGAGGCTGGCACTCTTCTCAAGGACTACACCCGACTGGTGGCCGTTAGGTTCACCAGGACCGGACGAGACTTGAGCTACCAGGCCGCGCGGAACAGGTACACGGACACAGATGCTCCGGGTGGATCTCTGATGTATGAGATGAACTGGGGAGAGCTTCCCATGGTGGGGTACGTCGTGATGAAGTTCCAGGACTTCACGAAGGCGGTGCAGCTCCAGAAGGTGAGGCGAAATGGGAAGGCCATGATCGAGATATTGATCACAAGGCCGGACGAGTACCACTCCACTGCGGATGGGAGACTGGACGAAGGCTTGGTCCCGATCATTGGGTGAAGAGCATGGGACAGTTCAAGCCCAAGCCGTTCGCATCCGATGTGGTCGGGGTCATCAAGAGGAACTTGATTTCCTTCTCAATGGCGTCCGACCTGAGGATGACGGTGCAAAGCGGCATCCGATTGCCTCCCTATCTTGGAGAAGATAAAGGCGGAGTTGATGCGGCTTGGGATGAAATGGCGAGGGTGCTCTTTCAGTTCTCCTATGCGTCGGGTATTTTGACATCGGACGCCTTCGTGGAGAAGTGGGTTGCGAAGCACTTGATCAAAACCAACCAAACCGATAGGTTTAGGTCGGTGACTGAGTACTTCAGAGCGAATCCAGCGCATGCGGCCCAGTGGGGATTGCGAATGACGACTTCCGTTAGGAAATTCGCCCGCCATGACACGTATTTGTCATTCTACATCCCGATGGCCTATGTGATTGGTGCTGCTGCGGGTCATTTGACCCCGATGTATCCGACCCACAGGAAGGATGCGGATATCCTGGCCAGTCATCGGTTGATGTCGGATTTCAGGAACTACTTGGTTTCGGTCGCGAGGTACGACGAGACGAAGAGATTGCAGGAGGCGATAGCCAAGGTGCAGAAGGCAATCAACGCTGGGCAATCGGAACCTCCTGTCCCTGTCCGTGATCCTTTCATCTACGTCGCTGACGAGAGGGTGAAGGCGGTTCTCGGCGGCAAGCAACCGGAGCCCGTGAACGTGGACATCAACGAGCTCCAGTCCGTGCATCGAGGCTTCAGGGAAAGGTTCCGGCAAGGGCGATAGTCCTGCCGTTCCGAAAGCGAAGGTAAAGGCTGATGCTGGACCAACTCCAATGGATGTTGATCCGCCCGAGGCTCAACCCAAGAAGTCGTGGGTCGCGATAGCGGTTGAAGGATCTCGACCGAGTGCGAAGGCAAAGACAGCCCCGCCCCCGAAGGCGGAGCCGAAGGGGAAGGGGACTCCATCTCCGGAGGCGAAGAGCACTCAGGCTCCGAAGGTTGAGCCTGAGGCGACGAAGCAGGCTGACCAGAAGGTTAGGGTCAAGAAGGAGAAGGCGAGTGGAGACGATGCTCCTGGTGATAGCCGGGGCTCGGCTGATAAGCAAAGGAGAGAAAGGAAATCCCGTTGGGATCCGGAGGCGCCTTCGAAGGAGTCGTCTAAACGGGAGGCATCGAAGAGACCCGATGATGTCGACAGCAGACCAGGTGCGGCAGCAAGAGAGGCGAGTGGAGATGACCTTCACTCCGCACTTGGCAGGTCTTCAGCTAAGGACGCGGCAGCGCCCTTGACTGCATCCAAAGCGATGGCGAAGAAGCCCGAGGGGAGTGAGATCAGACTGCACTCTGCGGGGCGAGCTGGTGCAAGCCCGGTGGAGGGTCACTTTGCGACGCTGCCGGATGCGACGATGGTGGAGGCTCAGCGTTGGAAGTCCTCAATCAAATCGTGGCAAACTCCCGTACAGGACGGGAACGTCGGGGAACGGATGTTTCCCGAACGCCTTCCCGGAGGTCCGTTAGGACTTTGGACTCCAGGGACTCCCGAGACTCAAGAAGGCGCAGGTATCGGCCACGAAGGGACGAAGATCGAGATCGGCGGAGAGACGATCGTCGGGATCGTCGTGATGATGAACCGGATGATCGAGGTCGGGGTCGGAGGAGAGACGATCGCAGGAGATCCGAGAGGGATCGAGAGGGACCGTGCGCGGGGCGGACGTGACCGGAGGAGGCGTGACGATAGCCGATAGGCTAAGTCACGAGGGTTGCGGCCGATAGGCTTGCGCCCGCCCTTCGATGGTCTACGCGGCGGGGTGATGATCATGTCCATCCTGCACCGCTGAGGCGCGTTGTTCATGTCTCTCCTGCACCGCTGCTCTGCTGCTGGTGGTGGTCACCATGAAGTAGTGTGAGTGAGAGGGGATGCGAACTGGTGGAGGTTACTCCAAGGTTTGCAGAATGTACAAGATTTTCAGGTACGCATGGTCAGCAGTACTTCTTGCCGATAGGCAAGGGTGCTTATGAACATACTTATTTTTGATTCATGGCTTCTGATAAGAATTGAACTACTTGCATTGTTGATGCAAACAGTTGTGACCTAGTGTCGGGGTGGTGGCGGGAATTTAATGCCCGGGATGTCGCTCAACTGCCTTTGTGGGTTTGCTCCACCGCTGACGGCGGTAGTGTCCAGCTGTTTGCGGACACATGCGAGCAGTTAAATCCTATCAGTAAACGGCACGCTCCACCCGTCAAATGACGGGCTCCTCGTGAGGGGGGTGTGATTAGCCATGAGTTCTTTCATCACCAGGGATGTCGTTAGTGACTGACCGGTGGTGATTTGGCTCAAGTTTGCGGGTCCGTCGCGCCTCGGATGAGCGTCGCCGGGTCCCCGCGTCGATCACCTTCGTGTCGGTGGAGAAAGAGACATCGGCCCGGGGCAGATAGGGTCCGCCCGTGCGGTTCATCGTCGATCAAGGTTGCGGGTACTTGTTAACTTGTTTCGTGTTTTCCTTTTGGTTGTTGTTCTCTGGTGTGTGGGAAACCCTGATCTTTGGGACCGGGGATTGGCTTGCTTTTGGGGAACCTTTCTTTTGTGGCTTGTTTACCCCAACTTACCCATTGCCTGGGCGCAGGTTTGTGCCCGAATCACATTTTGATATACCCCGCCCCCGCCCCACGTCTTGAGAGCTTGGGGGAATGCCTAAAGTAGGGGCCCCAGCCCCTAAACAAATCGGAGGGCCAAAGCCCAGGGATGCACGCCGGTTCGTGCCCCAAAAAGTGAGAACTCGCCCGTTAGCAGGAACCCACAAGATCTATGGAGACCAAGCCAGCCCCCTTTACCTTCTTGGCTCGGGCCAGGAGCAGAAAGCTCTCTTTGACAAGACAGCCGCTTGGGTACGAACATCAAGTTTTCTCTTTGGGTCGCTTGTAGCCCGGAAGCACCCGGTGGCCCCCAGTCGAAAAGGCTTCGAACGGCGGAATCTGTGGGGCTTCCAAGTCTGAGGCGGGGGACCAGTTGCAGGCGATGGCTCCCTTCCTGCCGCTGCCAGAGCTGGATCCGAAGAGGTGAAGCGCGAAGTTGGGCGCTGTCGCTGACGCATTTCCGCATTCGCGCGGAGCTGGTATGAACCGAGTGTCCTTGAGACGACGGCTACGTCAATCGATGCACCACTTTATGTGGAAAAGACAGCAAAACAAATAATTCATGCTGCGCTGACTGCGATTTCTACGCAGTCTGTCTTGAGTTGGGCCTTTGCGCGTTGAGTTGGATATCCAGGCAAGTCCACAACTCTCCTTCCAGAAATTATGAAGGCTCTTAGCTTACTGTGAGGTCATGAAGGGCCATAGGCTACAGGTTCGTTGAAAGGGTATCCCTTTGATCTGAGCTGGTTCTAAGAGGGCCCTCTGCCGGGTGGGCCATTTTGTGCAATGTTGTGATTTGAGACACGGCACTGCGCACAGAAACGCCGCAATTTGGAGCCCCAAGTCGGACTTTCCCGCCAGGTTGCCACCGTTGCCAGAGGAAAAACTGGTGGAGCCAGAGACGGTTGACCGAGAGGCGATTGCAGCCCCTGCTTTCCTAGCATTGTTGCCACTCATCTTTGCTGCCACCCTTCGGCCAAAAACAGTGCCATCCCCCAAACGGGTTTTTCGTGTTCTTTTGGTTTGCCCTTCACATCATCCAAAAAAGGGTGTTTTAAAAGGGCTTTCTGCAACGGATGGTAAAAGGGGGGTGGTTCCCGGTTTGCGAGACGGGAACAATGTCTTCGCAGCGCCAATCATGATTTTGTTCCCAAAGAGTCCAACTTGCTTGGATTGGTGGTTTAGTGGAGGAAGGGTTCTCATTTTTCCTCAGAAGCTAGGGGTCCGAATCCCCAAAGCACCAATCCCGGGCGGCTGTTCCTGGACGCCAAGGGGGAAAACAGTTCGCAGTGGCCACATCCTTTTGTCACCCAAGGAGAGGATCTTTCCCGATTCCCAACAACGTGTCGGCATCCTAAAACTAGGGACTACTGGGGACTCTTCTGGTTGGTTGACTAGTTCTTCCATTTGACCATTGTCCAAACATGGAACTCCCAAATTCTCTAGACAACTTTGTGGGTTCCACTCTTTGACCCCTCTTGTGCCATTCTAGGGCAAGCCATAGGTGGGGAATCCAACACCAACCAAGGTTCCCCGTGAATTGCTTTGCACGCCAACCAACATGGCGCCATCCACCACCCGCCAAGCCCTCATGCTGGCCAACACCCGTCAGATCCGGTTCCTTGTTGTGTACGTACAGTACACAGCAACCATGACACACAAATGCTCAAAATGCCGCCCCTACGTTTATTCAGCGTCCCTCAAAGAGGGTGGTTTTGGATTGGTGGTTCGGTGGTGGGGCTCTTCAAGCGGTTCAATTCTCAAAAGCCTCATTTTGACCGATCGACCGTAGTGTTTGGTCCATGACTTCCTTCGTGCAGGCCATGGTGACGGGCGAGGCTGCGGCGGTGGAGGTGAGCCAGTCGGGAAGATTTTGGCGTTTCGAGTCCATGAGATTCTAAAGGGTGCAGTTTCCACAATGTCCATGCGGTTATTGATGTTGATTCATTGCGTGTTTAGCCAAGTGAAGCTTATTCTTCATATTCCTCTATGTGCAAGCCAACTTCTTCTTCACTTGATTTCTAAACCAATACTTTACAGAAAACGCATAATACTGCAAGCTTCGAATCATGTTAATGGAAAATCATAATTTGAGAAGGGGCATCAATGCATTAGTGTTCATAGAACATGTTAAACCAATGAATCGTGTAGAATACACCGCGGCGCGCGCCTTACGCGCTGATTCAACAGAGAGGCACGTTTCGTCAGCGTCAAAGCTGCAGATTGGCGCAAAACAGGGCACTGGTCTAGATTTGGAGTTCTTGTTGCTTGGCGGTTCCTTTCTTTTTGGCCCTGCGCTTTTCTAGCTCTCCCCGCGTGCGGCTTCGCCGCAGGCCATGCGGAAGCAGAGCCCTTTGCCCTTGCTGTCGCTGAAGGTGGACGGCCGGACTCCGACAGAGACCGCGGAGTTGATGGAGGTTCTGTCAGGCGGGATGGGTTGGATGGGTGGCCTGTGTGAATATACGATCATGTTTGATTTCCAGAGGCAGTGAAGGAAGGCTATTTGACGCGAGTTTTTGCAGGGCGTCACAAAGTAATTAACATGGCTGCAGCTCTGCGTGCCCAACGCCTGCAATTTGGCGGTGAACTTGGCCAAAAGCTACGTATCCAAAAGTGAATCGCCAGGAAACTACCAACTTGCATGTAGGTGGAAGGTAGATTTTCCGATTGGCCACGCATAGGCCATTGGAGCGCAGGGTGGGATCCGAAGTGAAGTCAGCCAATCGGATCCGTCTGAACGCGAGGTCCCGCGCAGTGCGGTGCCGTGAGCATTTCCCGAGATCGCACTCACTTGAAATCCGTTCTTCGGGGCCGTTCTCTCAGGCTTTGGCGGCCGGGTGGGCCTCCCAGCACCTTTGGAAGGTGCTCACTGGGGGGAGAGGAGTTTCGGGAGAAGGTCAGTGGATTTTGTGTGTGGTGTGTGTGTGCTGTTTCTGAGTCTTTCCACATGCTGTCACACTGTAAACGCGAAGTTGGTCTGGCGTGTGATCCAAATCCCCACCAAACTTGGAACCTCATACCCCCACACTTCGCCGTTCCCAATCACCCTTGAAAACCTGACAGCGGGCGTTGGAACATCACAACGATCCCAGTCTTGAGTCGGAAAGCTGCAAGCCTTCATCCAAACCAAGGTTGTCCTTTCAAAACTGCCCTATTGGAAGTACATTGCCCCGTAGAATCGTAGCTTTCAAGCTTGTGTACGTCAAGCTTGTGCCAAAAAGGGATTGGACAAAAAGGGCAACAGTGTAGTCGTTGATAGTCCAGAAAGGTTGGGGGAATCGCTTAAGGGTCATATCTCCCCAAACGTTGCAACAAAGTGGGTTGCACTAAGCGAAACACTGTGGGTTATTTTTGCTGAGCGGACTCCAGCACCTCTGGATGACGTGGACGAGAGCCCACATGTCCCAAAATGGGATGTTCTTTTTGCGGAATGGTTGTGTGAACTTGGCTGGTATATTTGAGTAGTTTACTCGGATAGCTCTGCGCTTTGCGGATTTGTGGATTGATGGGCAGCTAGCAGCTCCCGCTTGCTTGGGGGAATCGCTTGATTGCCTGGCTGGCAGGCCTGTAGTTTATTTGTGGATAGTTTCCAAGTGACATGTCAAATAATAGCGTAGCACACGTGGCCATATTTGGCTCAAATCACCCCACTCAAATAGGAGCTCCAAGTCTTTGTTGAGTGAGCTATCCAGGGTGATTGCGAGTGAGACAAGCAATCGAGCTTGCCGCCGCCCGCGGTCACCTTGCAGGACATTGCATGAGGTTATCAGCTGTAGGGGTTAGCCCGCGTGCTGTGAAACGTGGGGTGGTCTGAAGCGGTAGGGCTAGGCCACCACATCAATCAGCCTCATACTGCCGAAGCGAAACAAATGTCCGATGGACAACTTCAGCTGCATTTGCTGGGCGGTAGCGGCTCCCGCTATCGGCGCATCATCGCAAGGAACGCCGGAACCAGCTGCACATGGAAGCGCAGACGCCCTCGTAGTGAGTACTGAAGCCCGGGCAACGCCAGCAAAGTGACGCTGGTGTTGACCAGGCCACGCAAGGGCGCTCTTTGATGATGGTGATGGACGGGCCAAAGCCCGCAAATTCCGAAGAGGGGGCAGGCTTCACCAAGTGACCCAAAAAGTGCGGATCAGTTGCTCGATGAGGAAATGCGAAAGCATCGGCCGGAAACAGAATCACAATTGATTGAGTGAAGCTGCGGCGCAACACGATGAGAAGCGTGCCTTGCGGAACAAATGTATATCTGCAATCTACAGTTCAGGCCAACCGCACCCTTGACTTGACTCCCAACCTGCCCACACTCATGGAAGAATGAAGGGTGAGTGTGAGTTGGCAACCGACCAGCTGAAGATCAAGAGCACTTGGCTCAACGAACTCGATTCCATGGCCTTTGACCCGAATAGTGAAACCCAACAAGAAAAATGGAGCGCCATGAGATGTCAGCATCATTGCAGCAGGCGGTGGACGAGCGCAGGTCTCAAACCAATGTAGGCAACGGTGAGAGAGTTCTGAACGCGAAGTCGGGATACTCAGGGACAAGCTGCAATCCAAGGTTTGCAAGTTGAAAGGAGCTGAAATGTGTCATGACAGCGTGGTATTATAGCTGTAGCCCGCCAGCATATTGGCTGAGCGGGAAGTTGATGCTGTGAGACTTCACTTAACGGGCGAGGCCCGTCAGGACCTGAACAATGTTGAGAGCCAAGCCAGGATCGAAGTGGACAAGCTTAGGAACAAGTTGAATCGGGAGGAAACTCGATTGGGCCGAAGAGCAAGCCAAGTAGGCTGACGAAGAAGAATATGAGCTGGGTTGAGAGCGTGTCCCAACATCAGTTACTATAGTGCGATGAAACCCATTGTGACAAATAAAAGATGAAGAGAACAAACAGCTGCAGAGCGCTCCTAACCGACTTTGGAACCGCCGGAATGAGTTCCAGGATGAACTGGAAGAGATGAATGATAGATACGAGGAGCTGGCCAAAGATCAGCTTGCAACATCACAGCCAAGCTGGGAATGGGGCTTCAGATGTGGTTACCGATGCGAAGAATTCAATTAAAGAAGCAGAAGCGAAGCACGTGCTGTCCTGGCCGAAGATCGCCCAACTCGACATGTGGAAGGGTAAGCTGTTGTCAAATGCGCACCGGTCCGGACAGCGCAGCTTGGCCAACGTGGCCGGACAGCGCAGCTTGGCCAATGTGGCTGGCTGAAGTTTTAGCCCGACAAGCCGGCCGACAGCAAGGGTCAAGGTTTGCGGGCTGCGAGGGATAGGTCTCAGAAAAAGTATTTATAAACTGCAGAGCCATGAGGAGGCTAAGCTCCGGGCGGTGGACAATCACTTGTTTTTCAGGGCATAACTTGAAGCTTGTATAACATCTGCCAACGCAGCAGTTTCTGGGACGAGATCGTTGGAATGGTGCAGAGGATATGGGTTGGAAGGCTATCTCCAGCGCTACCTTGCCAACTAGTTCAGGCCCGCTGACGTGGCCATCAACAACAACGAAGTGTCGTACTAAGGACGCTCAAGCCTAGCCGGGCATCTATCTGCGGGGGAAGCAGACAATCAAGCTTGCTGCCCGCCCGCGGCCACCTTACAGGACATTGCGTTTGCGCGGAGGGACGGTGCAGGTGGGACAAACGCAGAGTCCCTCAATTCTCATTTTCGTTGCGCGGCGGCCTTCAAGGAAACGTGTGCTTGGGCAGAGCTTGCTTCAAAGGAATGTCAAGGGCACTGTGTCCAAAATCGAGTCGGGCCATTTCTGCATGAACAACTCTCGTTCGGAGTCAGGCGCACAAGCAATGAAGGGGCAGATGTCACAAAGGTGCAAGCTGTAAAAAGCGGTTTGTTCCACTCAGAGCTTCCGTTGGTTGCGTTGTTCAGGACGCGTCCCGTTCGGTTGCTCCTTTGGTTTTTTTGCCATGTGTCTCGTCAGGCGCTGCGGAGCCAAAGGAGTTGCTGCGGCTGAACTTGGAGACGGGGCCCGACCGCCGCTGGTCGCCCTGGAGGTGTGGAGCGTTATCTTTGACCTGTTCGGTTCTTCAACAGAGGGCTCTCAAAGTAAGCGCACCCAACGCGTGGCAAAAGCCTTCAGTATTTGCAGTAAACTTCACGAACACTTGAACCAGACACGCCCAAACACAGCTTGCGGCTGATAACTTTGTGTCATTCCCACACACCGCTCCGCAAAGTATAACTTTTCAGGCTGTCCTTCCAAAGCCCTGGCCTGGTTTCAAACGCTTCTGACAGCGCCTGGGCTGGTCAGGGATGTAGTTGAGATGAAAGCCGCCTGCTTGCGGACAAAACTCTACCCGGGTAGATGCCGGCACGAAGAACCAGAGCCCAACCGGGAAGCAAACTTCTAAGCCCTGCAAACAAGCATAAGCGCAAAAGCGTTTCAGGGACGAAAATATGCACTTGTCCCCAAGCACCAAGGCACATGCGTATGGCAAGCATCACACATAAATTCCCTATTAGAATAACCTAGATGCAGGCCACTCTCCGCGCCCCATGAGATCGCTATAGCGTAGGAGTGCTGTGGTGTGGCCCAATATCGTCGCTTCAAGCGGCTTGACACCTCTGGACCTCGCTCGAAGTTTTGAACACGGGCAGGCTGCACTGCCCAGTTTCTCTTCATGAGAAGCAGCTGCCGCTTGGCAAGGTCAGCTCTGGTGGGCTCCTGGCCAGGAAGTTGGATCATGTTAAGCTCTAGATCTCTGCCCTCTCACACGCTGCATATCTCGTTCTACCTTGTTGTTTCGTGTTTCTGTCTCTCTGTTTATCTCTCTCTTTTTTTGTCTTTCATTCTCTTTCCTGCGCTCGTTTGGCGGGGGAATATAAATGTCCAGAAGGCGCAGTCTGTGCGCGAATTCAGCTGCTCGGCAGGTGCACGCGTTTCAGGCGTGCCACATGTAGAAGCTGGGACCTTCGGAGACCGCCGTCTCGAAGAGCGCGGAATGTTGCAACACTCAGCTGCGAAGATTATGATGAAGAACTTGTGGCTTGCCAGACTCTGTCGACCAGATCTCCTTGTTGCCATGAACCTTCTCGGTTCTCGGATTGAACTTGTCGCACTCGCCGGTGCCATTCACAGTGATGCTTCCTTTTCAATCAGCACTAGAGCAGCTCTTCAACCGTGCCGTGTCATCGACTTGCTTGCAAGACAATCAAGCTATCATTGCGATTGTTGCCAAAGGCTTCTCATGAAGTCACGACACCTGCCGAAAATACACCTCGCCAATGTCGCCTCCACCTGTGAGGCGTTTCAGCATGACAATGTTGAGATTATTTACGTGAAGTCACTTCTTTGCAGAAAGGTGGTTGCCTCATCAAGGCTCTCGGACCACAAAAGCGGAAAACCAAGATAATCACGGAGCCTTCGCCTGATGCATAACATGTCTCAATAATTGCCAAGAACTTACTTGTACACGGGTATGTCTAGCTTTTCATCTCCAGGTTACTGAGCTCTCTCGTGTATGTGGATTTGCAGTCGAAATTTCCTGTGAGTTAATGGACTGGGAACTCACTGGACAATAACGGCAAGAACTAGTGCCTAGTCCTATGAATAAGTGTGTTGTTTGGCTTGCTTTTAGCGCACCACCCGGGTCTTTTCGTGTCACTAGCGCACTTGCTTTGGCCACCCTTGTCCTCCTTGAATCGCCGCAATCAGTAGTCGGTGCACAGTTCCGCCAGTCACTACTTCACCAGCTGCTCGTCATTAACCCGAGAGTTCATCTTTTGGTCGCTGTTTTACACCGGCTCTTGATCTGCCAAGAAAGGATTGCATTCCTCGCCGCGATCCGACCTGACGTGTACAGGGGGGCCAAGCATAGTTTGGAAACTGGCTCTGGACTTAAGCATTCCTTTCAGGTCATGTCGGGTAATTGCAATGATTACATTTGGCTCAAGATACAATTAAGTGCCCGCTGCAGCCCTCTGGTCCTCCATATCTTTTGGGACTCGCAGTCAGCTGTCTACTTGACTTGGTCAACTTTCAAGTTTATGTTTTCTTTTGTTTCCCTTGTTCCTGTTTTCCTCCTCCTTGTCTTCTTCATGTTATTTGCCTTTTTGTTTCTCTTTTCATGCTTTTCATTTCCTTGTCTATGTTTCACGCTATTTCTTTTCTTACCTTCTCTTTGGCTTTTCTTTGCTCTACTGCTCCTTTCATTTCCGTTTTCTGTTCATGTATATATTGTCATTCCTTTTTCTTGTTAGTTCCTGTCCCTTTTTTCAATGTATTGCTTCCTTTTTGCCTGTCTTGCTCTCTTTACTTCGTTGCTTTGTTGCTTCTTTCTTTCTTTCTTTCTTTCTTTCTTTCTTTCTTTCTTGCTTTCTTGCTTTCTTGCTTTCTTGCTTTCTTGCTTTCTTGCTTTCTTGCTTTCTTGCTTTCTTGCTTTCTTGCTTTCTTGCTTTCTTTCTCGCTCTCTTCCTTTCTGTCTCCCTCTCCCCTTCTGCCTCTCTCTCTCTCTCTCCCTTGCCCTCCAACTTTTTCTGCCCCTCTCTCCCCGTTTTACTCTGCGTCTTTTCCTCACTTTCGCTTTCCATCTCCGACTCTTTTCTTATTTCTCTCTCTATCTACGTCTTGTTCTCCTCTTAGTGTCTTTTAGTCAGGATGTGTATCTGTTGTTCTTCCCCTAGATTTATGCTCGTGTCCTTCTATCTCTCTCTCGCTCTCTCTTTCTGCCTCTCTCGCTTTCCCTGCTTCCTCCAGTGTTGCTCAGCGGCCTTGGCTGGTGATCCTTTCCCCCTGCGCCTGCAGACTTACACGCATACAATTCACTGTGGAACAAAGCTGATGAACCCCAACAACGCATAAACTGTCATAGGTTGGACGGCTCCAGTCAACTTAGGGCACCTGGCGCCGTCGAGTTTGCTGTGGACTACGCAGGCGCAGTTGCTGGCGGTTTCTGTTGAATTGACGATACTTTTGTCAGTTAGGCAAGTCAAGCCACACGTTTCGTTTACGTGTGACGGCTCATTCAACGGCACCTGCGGAATTGCACAACCTTCAACTCCTTGCATTGAAGGGCATGCAACGTGCAGGAGTTCCAGGGCTGAGCCCTGTTCACAGCATTCACGAATGGTGCCGATCAGCACGCGTGCCTTTGTGCATGTAAGCGCATGTCCAATCAAGCAGTGACAGGCAAGCCGGACGTGTAGGTATCTTTTTTTTGGCCGGCAGGTGGGAGTGTGAACCTTGCAATCGTGCTGACACAACCAGAACCCACGGTCAGTCTGTGCGCGTCTGCGCACCTGCTCACCGTGTGACCAGAACCCACACATGTTGAGTGCGTGTACAACAGCACGCACGCCAACAACATCAACATGACAAGCGCGCGCAGCACGAATCGTCCGCTGAACATTGTGTTTCGTTCTGGGGAAAATCGTGCACCTAGTTTCAAGGGTTTGGTTTTTCGCTGAGGAGCTTAAACTCATAGTTTGAGAATGGCTCTAACAGCTTTGGAATGGATGTGCAGAAAGTGCGACCTGCGAGATTTTCAAGTCGAGCAAAGACACTGACAGGAGCCCCAAGTGTTCACTCACAAGAGTCCTTGAAACGCACAGGGCATTGCTGCTGCCCTCAGAATTGCGAAGGCAAATCGTATTCAATTGAAGGTCACATCGGTGCTTGGCACACTTGTTGTTTCCTGTGGCAGCTTCGAATGATTTAGCCCGCTTGCCCCCCCCCCCCCGCGTATGTTTGTGAACCGCCCAATCAGGAGGCTGAGACTTTTGCATTGGTTGGTCTCCTGTTTGTATCGCAAGCTGCGATTTCCACACCTTCTTACAATTGAATGTGATCACAAAGTCAACTTAGTGTATATTAACTGCAAATTGCGTACGACAAAAAACGATCCAAGCAAGAATAATCACAAGCCGCGTGGCAGTCTGCAGGTTACGTCTTCCTCTTCGCTGGCGAGGAGTGCTTTTCTCTAGAGGGTTTTTCGGTTGAGGCTTCATGCCGGACAGCCCCGAAGCATGGCGACACGGGCGGGGTGGCAGAATGATTTGCATTTTTTTGTGGACCCCAGCGGCACTGGGACTGGGTTCGCTGTTTCTCGGTGGTTTAACACGTTTCGCATTCCTTCTTGTCCAGTTTGCAATTTATCATTTTTAGGCCAGGGGGCCCTATCCAACTCGGTGCGGCCGTGCGAGGAGCAGATGCGTCGCTTCTGCCAGTGGCCCAAGCGCTATCTCACAGACCTGCCCCGCATCAACGTGCCAGGCAATGCGTCTGAGAGTGGATGCCCGGTTTTTGGGGAGAGGTGAGAGGAACAGAACGCGCGGAAAGCCAACAGAAGAAGGAACGACCCAAATGACTTTTTGGTAATATAGTGCTATTGCTCATTTTCTCCATGGGCGGAGTTGGATCGAATCACAGGCTGGAGTTTCCTCAGGACACGCTGACCTGTTCCTTTCCCTTCATGTTCCGCTTGTCGTATCTTTTGATTGGAAGAGTAGGTGCAATTCACCTAGGAGCCTAGGGCAACATGTCTTGCCAGGGCTGCAGTCCAGGGGCAACTGTTGGGAACAAGCTCGAGCGCAGTTTTAACAGGACCCAAACATGCAAGGCATCAACGATAAGTGGAGAGCACTCCGAATCCCGGACAGGTAATTAGGAGCTCGCACCGGGCCAGCAAATGTTGTAGGGTTGCGGTCCAGGGCAAGCTGTTTGGGGAAAGTCGTTATCAGCAGATTAAGTGCAACTTTCAAAGCCTCCACATGTATGAGATTGCGCCCTGCCACAAGCCCCGTGCTGGGTGAAAGGTCGGAGGTCCGCCGGCACCAGTTAACATCAAGCACACAAGACTTCAACGTGACATTGCAAAACCACAGCAACAGTATCAGTACTAGCTTTACACAAACGCACGAAGCCTCACTCAGAATAGGAAACACCAAAAAGATGGCGCCATTCACTTGGTAGCTTGTGAAGGGCAAAAGTCTGCAAGTAGAACTGTATGGGAAGACGCGGCAACAAGCTCGAAGCCAACTTCTAAAACGCAGGCACCGTGACATGGAAACACTTCAAGCCGGGCACAGGGCAAGGGTAGGTGGTACGCCAGCGCTGTGGTCCAGGAGCAACTGAGAACGGCGTAAATCAACAGAACCGGACTCCCAGACCAAGTTTTAAACAATGCAAGGCTTCAACGCTTCATGAATAAGAGGGCAAGGCAGTAGATGGCGTAACTTGGGAGCTCGCGCAGGGGCAAGGGCAACTGTGGGAAACACGTAAGCAAACACATTCTTCAAACGCGCGCGCAAGGCTTTGGCGTCACATGGGAACCTTTCATAACCTTTCCACCATGCCAATGCCCTGGGATTAATTGGTGTTTTTTGCGGAGCTTCGTCGGAGCTTCGTCCCACAAACCGTTGTCCCCTGTTCTCTTTTTCTGGTCGGATAAAACGCATCCTGTTGCCTTCCGTTTCAGCTTGAAACAAATAGAATGTTCAACTGCAGCTAGCACCGGAGAGAATTTCCCGGGTGAGCCGCGCAGGTCTGGCGTTGGGCTTCGTGCTGTTGAGCCCCGGAGGGTTCCGGTGCCAGCAGCTGGCCAAGCGCCTGGAAGGCGAGGGCGATGCGAGGGCTCTTTTGTGGGAGCCAAACAGGTTGAGCTCTCTGCTCAGTTCATCGCGTTTTTGAAGGTTTCCCTTGCAAGTTGCTGCGGGAGATGCGGTGATTGTCCAAGGGTTTCCATCCGCAATTTGGGACATGAAGTTTGCGTTCTTTTGGTGCATATTGTTTTCTTATTTGTTGGCATTCCTCATTGTCCTACACCTATTTTCGGCAAGGAGTTCGCCAGCATTGAAGTCCACCGCTATTTCACGCACCACCACCAACACTGCTATTGCTATACTACTGCTACTACTGCTGCTACTACTGCTGCTGCTGTTACAATTCGCGCTGCGAGTTGATGTCATTTGATGTCCAGAAACCAATGTCCTGAGCGTTGGGTTTTTTGGTGGAAGCCTCTATCCCAAAAAACCGAAGAAAAAAAACCTCGAGGAAACCGAGAAAAAAAGAAAGCAAAGATATGAGGGAAATGTTTGGTATGGCAGACTTGGTGGCGCCCCAAAGCTCAAGAGATCTCAAACTTTCCCTCAAATCTTTTTTTTGGGGGGTTCCTCGGTTTTTTTCCGGTTTTCTATAGGAAATATTGGTTTTCTTGAGGTTTTTTGGTTTTCTCAAGGTTTTTCTACGGGTATGCCCATAGTATTCCTCGTCTCTTGTTAGGGCAACACTAAAACAATACTAGGGCAGTACTAGGGGAATGCTAGGGCAACACTATGGAAATACTTTGGGAATGTCAAGGGAATACTAAGGAAGAATATTAGGGGAATGCTCAGGGAATACTAAGGGGATACTCTTAAGCTCAACCTGTTTGAGTTCTGCTAGTTTCCTTGCTAGGGCGACCGTAGGGGAGTACTCAGGGAATACTAAAGGTGAATACTATGAGAATACTAGGGGAATATTCAGGGAATACTAGGAGTATACTAAGATAACACTTTAGGACTACTAGACTAAGAGTTCTCCCTTAGTATTCCCCTGCTCTTCCTGGACAGTTTCCCTTACTAGGAGGGTAGTGATGGAAATGCTAGGGGTATGCCAAGAGAATACTAGAGTTATACTAGGGCAATAGAAAAGGTAATCCCCACAGTATTCCCCTTCTTTTGCTGAGCAATGTAAAGGGAATACTAGGGAGTAGTGCAGGAAATGCCAGGGGTACGCCAAGAGAATAAGAGTTATACTAAGGCAATACTAAAGGTACTCCCCTAGTAGTCCCCTTCTAGGGGAAGAAATACTAGGGTTATACCAAAGGCATACTAGGGCAGGCAATTTTATGGAAATACTCAGGGAATATTGGGGCAAGACTAAGGGAGAGTACTGGGGAAATAGCCAGGTAATGCCGGGGATATTCTTTAGCTCAATTTGCTTGACTTCTCTTGTTGCCTGGCTAGGGCAATACTAAGGGAATACTCAAGAAATGCTAGGGGAATACAAAAGGTAAATGCCGAGAATAAGGGGAGTACTGAGGGAATACTAGGGGTATACCAAGATAATATCTGAGGACTAGCAGACTAAGTGTATTCCCTTAGTATTCCCCTTCTCTTACTGAGAAGTTTAAAGGGAATACTCGGGGGGGGGGGGGGTAAGGGAATACAAGAAGTAAATACTGGGAGAATACTAGGGAATGTTCAGGGAATACTAGGAGTGTACTAAGATAATACTTAAGGCTTACCAGACGAAGAGTACTCCCTTAGTATTCCCCTCATTTCCCCTTATGAAAAAACAATCGGGCAGTGTCAGATGCAGATGCCAGATGCAGATGCTAGATTGAATGACAGACACAGATGCCAATGCAAACACAAAAGGAACAAACACAAACACATGAAGAGCTCAGAGAGGTCAATGTCCCCCAAAAAAACCCTCTTGTGCCAATCAAAAAAACAGTTGTTTTTGCGTAAAAACCCAATGCTGGGGACATTGGCCTCTCTTGATGTAATGTGGCTTTTTGTAAATGTAATGACATGTGGTATAAAACCAAATGTGATATGCAATCATTTTGCCCAGGTGCATGTGTGCCGTCACGTTTACACATGTGAGCACACATGCATGTGCTCACGCGGGCGAGTCGCTCAGATACCTACGGCTTCCAGCTCGTGAGCCCGCTGTCGCTGCTGCAGCGTGCCTTGGCGCAGCCGCCCGTGCCGGACGAGCCCGCAGAGGAGCTGCCGGAGGTCTTCGGGCGGGCGCGGGGGCGCGGGCGGGGCTGGGGCCACCCCGCGTCTGTGACACTCAGGAGGCGCTGCCGCCTGTGGCCACGGAGCCTTGGCTCTACGCTTCAGAGCACCAGGAGCTACGGGCAGGCGGGGGGTAGCTTCGGCTTCACGGGATGGAGAACACTGGGAGTGCCGCATTTCTGCTTGCGCCCATATGTGTGTATGCTGATGAACATGCCGCGCCGTGGGGATGTTCTTCAAACTGACATATGGCGATGGGACGCCGATCTTGGGTCAGCCATCTAAGTCTCATGTGATTTTGTCAAATGAGTTGAAGTCTTCTACCACGACGACGGTTTCAGGCTGGCGGGCTTTTCAGAGCGTCCCCCTGAGAAGGCGGCCGCCAGTTTCAGACACGCGCAGACACAAGAGCGCCACGAGTTCTTTTGCAACATTTTCCCCTAAAGCATGGCGAAGGATTTTCCCGGCGACATTGCGCAGAGGGATGTCACCAAGGGCTGCCAGAGACGCCGTACGCAGAAATGTGACCAAGAAGTCGCCTGCGAGATTGCGCAGAGAAATATCATTTAGCTGAGCACTGGGTCCAAGACGTCGTTAACTGGTCTGACACCAAGCCTGCGCGAGTAGTAGCGTACGAGGGCGTCAGTGTGTTGCGTGAGTAGGGCGTGCGAGGGCGAGTGCGCGGAGTGGACGAGTGGACACTGACAAAGTCCGAGGCTTTGCGCGACCAATGCTGCTGACGTAAGATGTGACGCAGCGGCGGGATTACACAGCTTCGATTCCTGGGCTGTGGCCAGCTTGCAGAAGGGCATGGTGGCGACAGCAAACTAGATGCGCGGAGGGCTGGGAGGGCTTGCTTGGACTCAGAGCCAAACTTTCGTAGGGTTCCATTTGCATGCAGGCGGCTCGCGCTCTTGAAAGAAGGCCTCTTGCGCGCCACTCACCTTGATAGGCCCTGGGAGATCAACGTATGGGAGTCGTCCGGAAAGGCCCTTGGGCTCACACAACGGGAACACCTTTTGGTCTTAGCGCCGGCCTCTGCGAAAGCTTCGCGACGCAGGTCGCGCAAAGATAGCTTTTGTTCGCAAAGTGTTTGTCTACGGGTGGTTTGCTAAAAAGAAGATGGAATGATGATGCAACCATGTGCGTTTGCCGGCAGAGCGCAAAGAATGCGCACAGAAAGCAACCGGAACCAAGTGTTCGAGTTTGAAGCTTTCAGGTCCAATGAGTGCAGCCGGATTTTTGGCAATGTTTGGCCCAAAAACGAACCAAGGTTTCGCGAAGGTCGAATACCTTCCCGCCAGCTTCCGGACTGTGCTGAAACGCGGCCTTCAAGCTGGGGTTGCGGAAGTGCACTTCACGTGCTGCAATGGAACAAAAGATTGCGATATTGAGCTGGGGTCGTGGAAGTTCGCTTTGTGTACGGCTTTAGTACTGGAAATTGCAACTTTTGAGCTGGGGTTGCGGAAGTTCACTTGTGTATAACTTTTGTACTTTGGCGTTTGAGATGGGGTTGCGGAAGGGTACTTTTTGCATCGGTTGGTACTGAAAAGTTGCGACTTGTGAGTCGTTGCGGAAGTTTACTCTGTATACAGTTCTTGTACTCAATATTGCAAAAGGAATTTCAGACAACCGCCATTGTCAAGCCAATGGTCCGCGCAGGCAAAGCTGCGTCCACGGCCACCTGCCTCCGCCTCATCGGATGGCAGTTAGGCGTCGAGAAGAACCTGGCGCTCCTGCAAAAGCAGGCGGGGCACGTGCCATCCTTGTCAAAATAGTGGAAAATCCACATCATGTTGCTGATGTTTTTTGGGGTGCGTTTTTTTAAGCCAGGCAGGGAGAGGGCAGCGTTCTAGAATACGAGACCCCAAGAAAGGTGGCGCTTCGTTCTGGTGCCCCCCGAAACACTATCCAAAATTGGTCTCCTTTTGGGATAGCCCCTGGCATGCACAATGTCAGACCCCGCAAATGCGGGGTTGCCCTTTTCGTTGGCAACTTTTTGTAGTAAGGCTTCCCATCTCTGCTGATGCCACATTGGGTGATTATTCAATCTTGATGAGCGTTCGGCATACTTGAAAAACTACCAGCGGCTCTGGGCGTTGCTCAAACTGTTTGACACTGTGCCAGTGAGGTTTTCGGATTCCGGATGCTGCAACCCCGCCGGAGAACCCGCCTCGAGAAGCCATGTTTGAGTGGAGGTGCAAGCGCTGGAGGAGGCGAAAAAGCTGGTGGAGGCGCGGTCAGCTATGGCCCAGGATTAGTGTGCCATACGAAGGGCAGCTGCGCGTGAATCGTGAATCCTTGACTGGTTACAGGCACCGGTGACCCTCCAGCGATCAGGCATTTGGATGCACGTGGGGTGTGAAATTCAGCACGCTGTCTAGATGTCACAGCTTTGCGGACCCCTTGAATACACCTCCTCTTTACTATTCTTTGTGTGTGTTGTTTGTTTGTTCTGTTTGTTTTTAGCGGGGGCGGACATATGCAGTATTTTGCCGACATAACTTGGGTTGGGAAGCCTGAAGCGCAAGATGTCCCGATCATTATGTTCTCATTCCATTGCTCAGTGAGATCAACCTACAGCCATCAAAGAAACATGGCCAACAGGCTGGTTTTTCCATTCAATGGCACTAGCACGTGCCGTTCGCCAGTTCGCTTTCAGGAGGCTCAGGCTGCTGGCACGGAGCCAGAAGGACTGACTTTAGATGAGGAAGGCCATCGGGAGGAGTCGGCTGGAGCACATTGGTTTCTTCGTTGCGCACCCTCAGTTTTAGCCTCCACTCTAGGGCCATCTAGGGCCATCAGAGGCGCTGCCGATTGCGTTTGGGAAGGTTGACGCCCTTTGGCTTTGAGGTCTACGCGTGTCCCTTTTGCGCCGATCAACGTTGGTGTCATTCACCTTCTCACCTGACCGGAGGTGTCAGTTCCAGGCCCCGACCGTCAGCAACCCAATCGGTCAGGTCAGCCCATGGTGGAGCTCGAAGAGCCATTGGCGCGGCCCCAGCGGGGCTTCGTGCTGCAGGCGGTTTGGGAGGTGCTTTGAGAAATTCGATTGGAATTTGGTTTTTGGACATTTTCTGGGCCTGCGGCCTCTAGCCGGCTACGCCTCTTTGAAGTTATACCATGTCATGTCATGTTTTTTGCATGAGAAACGTAGCGTGTGCTATGATATGGCTGGTTAGGTTATTCATGTTGCCCACCTTAACCCCAGATAATGCCGGGGATGCCGACTTTCTGGGCCCCATCCGGGCCCCAACCCAGAAGGCTGACATGGGGTCGCGCGCGCAGCCCAAAAAGAGCAGCCCGCAAGCCAGGCCGGAAGCGCAAATGCAACAAATCACCGTAAATAGCAGCGTTTTGTGGCTGGGGTCGCGCGCGCGCGCGCGCGCGCCAGAAGGCCCGAAAACCAACGCGAAAAAAGCAAGGACCGCGCAGCACGCGAGCCAGCCACAGCAAAAGCAAAACGGACAGAACAACAGCCCAACGCTCAGCACAGCAGTTTTTGGCGGTATTTTCAGCGTTTTGTAGAGCGAGGACCCAGCATCGCCGGCGTGCCCGGCAGCGCTTGGCGCCAAAATGAGCCTCGCTTGTACCCCTCCGATACACAGTGCTTTGTGGGTGGAGAGGCTTTTTGGAAGGAAGTCTTGATGATGCAGACCAAGCCCCGCTGAAGCATCGCCCAGGCCCAACCCCAGACCCTGACGATGTCAGCCACATGGCCTAAACGCACACACGCGATGTTTCGCGAGGGTTTCCCACAGTCAAGCAAAACCGCAAGCCCGAGCTGGTGATGCAGAGGTGCCGGATTTAGGCCGCGCATCACGACCAAGTGGCGAGGGTCGGCGGCGCCAGGGTGCAGCCCCTATAGCTAAAGCTAGCAGGCTAATTGCCTAGCGGACATGCTACCCCAAGGAGGCGTAGCCGGATTTACGTTGCTGGCACACAACCGGCCGTGGCAGCATCGCGAGGCTCAACCTCACAGCTCTTGCAAGGACGGCAAAGCAGGCAGCAGCGACAACAACAACATAAACATACCTACATTTCCTTACTTAGGACTTGCACACATACACACATGCATTTTCCAAACATCTTCCCTCAGTTTTCCATCCATCTTCGACATTTCCCATCTATTTTCTAGCCATTTCCCGTCATCTTGCAGGCACGCGCGCACAAGCACGCGGGCGCTCACGCACGCACACCCACCCACGCACGCACCCACGCACAGGCACACACACACACACACCAGACTCACGCACAACACACACCCACCCACCCACCCACCCACGCACGCGCTCACGCACCCACGCACCCACCCCCACACACACACACACACACTTGAACTCCAAATGGAGGGTGCTAATCTTTCGAGTGCAACTGCTGAGTCTCGAGTACAACTGATGAGTCTCGAGTACAACTGATGAGTCTCGAGTACAACTGATGAGTCTCGAGTACAATAATTTTCGGCTCGCAAAGCACCCAGTTTGCCTCTAGAGGCGAAAACGTTACCTGAAGAACAAGAAGCACAAACAGCGCCGCAACCAAGGGGGCCAAAAGGACTTTCAGAATCACTTGCAGGTACAGGAGTTTGCGTCCAAACTCCTTTCCGGCTCATTCTCACAGCTTCATTGGCACGGCTAGAGAATGAGCTGCCGCGCCCCCTGCTTGAGAAATTGGGGTGGCAGGGTATTCTGCCACTCCGCACACACACGCCCCTCTGCAAGGGGCGAAAATTCTCTTTTTCACTTCCGGAAGATCACTCGCTCAACTCCTTAACTCCTTAATGTCTACCAAAATATCCGGGGAAAACGAGAAATTGCACGCTCTGTACGATGCCGCTCAGAAGACGGGGACGAAGGATCTCCAAGTTGAGCAAGACGTGTGCCGCCATAGAAGACAGGCGGAAGATGCAAAGATGACGAATGTGCACTGTCAGACATGGATGGGGCGTAGGTGAACATTTCCTCGACCTGGATAATATCCGGATGTTGTACGTCAACAAGTGGTTGATCCGGAGCATGATGGGTGGAGAAAGACTCATGGCCGGACAATATCCGTTGATAACCTTGATGTTGCCAGTCTCGACCATGCTTGACCTGGTTCACGGGTCTCATCATCTGGATCGGTTACCCGTTTCCACTCCCGAAACAAGTTGTCTGGCAGGTCAGGTACTTCCTCTTCTGGGTGCTACAGTTGAGGTTGTCCCGGCGTGTAGATCCGCACCCACTCCTGACCTTGCCAGACGGAATATTCGAGCCATGGGTGCTGCTCGTCAATCCGGGCCGACGTCCGAGTTGCATCATCTGTGTCCATGTCGAAGTGAAAGACAGGGCGTACCGCAGGTTCCGATCCAGCTAGCAAGGAGACAGTCACCATGCACAACCATGCACAACCAACACACACACATGAAAGCAAGAGCATGTGAAAGCACCCTTTTGTGCCACGATCAAAATGCATCAGCCTATTCAGCAACTAGCTCGAAGATAGGCTTGTATGGATCAGAGACCCCAATAGACTCAGGTGGCTCAACGCCCCGAGAAGTACGTACCGGTTGGTGCTGGTGGGACGCTTGACGCGAGGCGGCTAAGTCATCAAAAACAACACAAACTGGCATGCATTACCGCTAAGTCTGAAGACTGAGGACCTTTTACCGCTCGCCGAGCTTCAACGGCCATATGAGAGTCCGGATGGTCGACACGCCGGCATAGCTTTGACTGCTGGGGGGTGTTTCGGCACGGCGTCACGATGGTCCGAAGCAAGGGCAGGTCCCCGACGGCCAAGTGGTCTCGCCGACGATGCCTTCGGAGATGTTGGCGCCGGTATTGAAGGAGGCGGGAGCGGTGGATGTACCTCGGGAACTGTAGGTACTGGAGGGACAACAGGATGACCAATGTGTACCACGGAGGGAAGCGGTGGTTGTGGATGTCGCTGGTGACCCTCAAGACGCTGTAGTCCGGCTACTAGGATACTGATCTGCGACGAGATGGAGTGTAGTAGGTAACGACATTCTCGTAAAAGGTCTCCATGGTCCATGATCCGATCAGTAGCAAACCCCAAACTGCGGAAGCATCAAGATTAGAAACAACCAAGCAAACAACAAGGCGCATCAATCAGCAAGCATACAATAACACGGTCAGCTTTTTTCGGAAGAGAAACGTCATGATGGATACCACGAAAACAGCTGGCACAAACCGCGTAGTGGTAGTGCAAGGGAGTTGTAATTGATGCAAAATGCCGAAGGTCTTTACCAGAACATCCCCAAGTAGCTAGGAACCGCAATGGATGATCGAAGCTTCCACCTGCCGTCTTTGGCATGAATGCAATCATAGTAGTGGGAAGCAGCAATGTCGGCATATCGTGCCCCCGCGCGGAATGACGCAGTGGGGTTGGCGCAGTCTCGCCGCTCCCCCAATACAAACGGGGCGATGAGAGTGTACCCCGGCGAACTGGGCGGCAGCTTTCACCGCAGCATCATGAGAAACTATGCTGCCTCTGCAACAGAAACCCATTGGAGGAATCCACACTTCGTTCCAGTTGGTGTATTCGGGATTGGGAGGTGGTTGCATCAGCCATTTCGAAGGCCGGATGAGCTCCTCATCTTTCAGGATGGCGATGGCAGCGTAGATGTTCGTGTTGCGCGCCTAGAAGAACGGCGAGATCGACTGCGATCGATGGTTGTCAGGTAGTTGGCGACGTGGTTCGAAGGAGAAGAGGATCCCGAACTGATTTTTGCTCGAGTCTTTCTTGGTGGGCTCAAACAGGGAGTAGGTCCGTCTGGTCTTCTGGATGTACGGCCAGCGCTTCTCGCAGACGCCTAGCTGAACAATGAGTTGCTCGGGCAGCGTGTCCTTGAACTTCCGGGAGATCTCGTTGATGACCTGAGCGGTCCAGGAACCTGGATTGCCGTGTGGTGGTCGCATAGCCGGCAGTTCGGAGACAGACGTGACTCGCTCCTCATCCTGTATAATGCTGGTTCGGTGCGGCATGAGTCTCCTGTAGACTGTTTCCCAGGATTTCTTCCACTTGGCTGGCTCAGGAAAGACTAGCTCCGCAATGCAGGGAAGCGTGTAGTACAGAACGTCATCGATCATGATGGCAATTTCCTCAACCTAGAGAATCTTTTCATATATAGTTTGTTGCGATTCCCGGATTTCTGATATAGATTTCCATTTCTGATATAGATGGTTTCCCAAATTTTAGCAAATATAGAATGCTACATTCAAACTTTCAACCCTGCAAAACCTCCAGAAGACATATGAGCACGCGTTTTTGCGCGCGATCAGGATCCACGGGCAGCACGCGTGCCGGAAGCCCGCTCATGCCCACATGATCCTGCGAGGCCACGCGTATAGCAACATCAATGCGCATGTAAGAACAAACGTCCTCCTCGTACGTTAGCGTCTTCTTGCTCCGCGTCATCTTGCAGCGGCACTTTCCTGCATCGAAACATGTCAGCATGCGTGGCATGACATGCGTGACGTGACGTGCGCTATTATGCGTGACATGCGTGACGTGATGTGCGTGACATGCATGCATGTGACATGCGTGGCATGCGTGGTTTGCCGCACAGCGCAGTCCTGCGGAGCAGTGCCAGCGCCTCATTCATCTTCGGCAAGAGGCCAACAAGCATGCGCTGCAGCGCCGCAGTACAGACTGTGCGTGCGTGGCAGCGCCGAGCAACTTGTCCCAGCTTCTTCAGAGCATCTTCGTCCATGAAGTTGACCCACCTGGCTGGGTTGCGGCGCGTTGCCCGGAGATCATCCAGGACACACACGCAGAGATGCAGCTTTGGCCGTGGATTGAAGAGCATGTACGTGTACCACCTGCGGTACATGTGGTGGAGCTCCAAGTACAACTGGACGAATGCCATCCCAAGCGTATGCGCGTGCTCAGCAACGTTCTGCGTGAGGGTGTGGCTGCGCCGTCGCTCTCGCAAAGAGCAGCTCCATGAAAGCATTGAGGCACCACAGGCATGCCACCTCGTCACTGCAGGCTGCCAGCACAGTTAGGAGCCATCCAAGCATGGCGGTCATCTGGGCAGCTTTGCAGTGGCACTCCACATATTCTGAGGTGGAGCGCATTCCAATAAAGTCCTTGCAGCCCCGCACGCATCTCGAAGTTGGGCACCTGCAGCTGAAATGCGCTTCTGCAAGTCTGAGCCTGGAAATGGGCCATCGCGCCGCCGGAGCAAGATGCAGAGCGTTGATCCAACCACATTGCGCCCAAGGCCAAGATGCACAAGATGCATTAGATCCAGCTGCGTGTTCTGGAGCAGCTGCAGTCCCTGGATCTGCAGGAGGCTTGGTGGCGACTGCGGCTGCCATGGCTCTGACTGCAGGATCGTGCTCCTCCACTGTAGGGGCAACTCAAATCTTTGGTTGCCTCGCACAGCATGCAAATTCTGTTGCTGTTATAAAAACGGCTTAGGCACAGCGACTGCTTGAGATACTTCCAGTCGCCCTTCACGCCACAGACCTGCACAGCCAGCGGCCTTGCCGCGCGCAACTCGTTGAAGCTAGCCACCGCTGCTAGAGCATGCTGCAGGGTCTGGTTCACGCCATAGACGTCCATGCGGCACAGTGATGAATCAACCATGCAGATCGGGAAGCGGCTCATGCGACTGTCCGCTTGCACATCCATGTCGGCATTGTCAGACTGCCAGCACAAGCACATGTACTGGTTCTTGCTGGTAAACTCGGCTTCGTCGCCAAAAATGATGGCTGCAATGCAGTCGGGCGCATCAGGTGGCTGCACGCCATTTGCTTGCTGCACACTCCAGTAGTCTTGGCCAGCATGGCCCAGCACGTCTCGGTAGCCATGCTCGATCAAGGCCTGGACCTTGCGCAGCGCAAAATCTGCACATCACGCTCGAGCACGCGCAGCGCAACTTAAGACACACATGCGCTGCAGCATGATCGAGGCCAGAACGATCGTATGCGGCAAGAGGAACGGCCACGACACGGTTCTGTCATACCCGAGCTCGCGGTGGCGCATTGGCAGATCCACATATGACACCACTGCGTCAAAGGTCAGGCGGGCTGCGCGCAACTTGTTGCGCGCGCGCTGCTCTAGCAGGGCTGAATTCCTTAAGTTAACTGATCCCACAAGCGCTAAATGACGCTGGTTTGCATGGAAAGTGCAAGACGCATAATATATACAAGGTGCGTGAAAACATCTGACCCATACACACGGCCCATGCTGACCGCAGTTCTCAATGAGGCGCTGCCTCGGCCAATCTCAGCCGCCATCCTGCAGCATGGCAGCTGGGCACGCGCGCGCGCGACACGAACGCGCTGCCTTTCGTCCAGCTCGCGGCGCATCCTTGCCACTTCACTGCCTGCGCGCACAATGCGTGACATGCGTGGCGTGACATGCTTGCACGCGTGCCCGTGACTGAAATGCGTGACTCGCATGGCGCGCGTGGCGTGTCATGAGCATGCATGCTTGCGTGCGTGTGACGCGGCGAGCTGGTATATCACTGCAGCGACGCACGCGCGTACGTGCAAGTGAGAATGCATGCGCATATGGTCTGAGGGCCGGGCAATATCTGAGCGCAAACACGTGCGTGAAAGCTGCGCCGCTGAGGCCGGGACATCGGTCAAGCGCCTGCAGCAGGGCATGGTCAAACGGTATATGCAACAATTTTGCAAAGAACTATACGCAAGGCACGTGCTTGTTCTCCGGCAGGCGCACGAAGCGCGATGCTGATATCAAAACTAATCGCGATCCGCCAGCTCAGATCACTTAGGCGTATCCCCTGGCATGCACTCAAGTGAGTTTATAATGGACGCAAGAAAAATGCAAAATGAGGCTCGGGCTTTCGCAACTCATTCACCACCGCCTTGGCCCGCGCCTTCTTCAAGCGGATCGCTTGCACCTGCCAGGCGTGCGACGCAGGCGCAGCACGCGCATGCGTGTGTGTGTGTGTGTGTGTAAAGCACAGGCGCCTCCTCAGCTATGGCATCGATTCCGCTCCAGTGTTCCATGCTTGTCCAACTCGAGATCCTGATTGACAGGCGCGCGCGCGCACCCGTGTGACGCACGCGTGCAGGATCCTATATGTGACGAAGCTACGCACGCGCGCGGTCCTCTCCCAGCAGGCTTCCAGAGACACCTTGCACGCGGCAATGGACTGCTTGTCATCCCCCGGCGGCATGTCGAGGAGCAGGTTCTGAAGCGCCGTCATTTCCTTCTTGAGCTCTGCGCCTCACAGAATAAAGTTGAGATAGATCTTCTGATTGTGCACTTATAAGCGCCGCGCGTAACTTGTCCATCCTCTGCTTGAAGCCCAGCCCTTCCACCCGCAGGCCAAGCGGGCCCGTGGGCCCCTCGGCCTGCTTGCTCTTCGCCTTTGGCTTGGCGCGTGCCTTTCCTGCGCAGGAGGAAAAATCGCATGTGGGAAGCTAAAAGCACGCGCCTGGCCTGCAGCCTTAACAGGCGGCGCAGAGCTAGCAGTGGACTGCACAAAGTCCAGGATCGCGCGGCCGGACTGCTCGCCTGCAGCTGCAGGCACCGTGTTCGCATGCGCTGGGGCCGACAGCATCCGCGTCATCTCCGGCACGGCGAAGCATCTTGAGGACGGATGCGGCCTTCCACGCTTGTCTCCAGATTGGACTCATTCCCACGGTTCCTTGTGATATCCGTGGTGATCCAGTAGCGGCGAGACTTGGGGTCTGTGGGCACGAGAGGGTCCGCCTCACCAGCCTGGGACTGGATGGTCGCCTGGATCTTCTCCCTGCAAACAGTTTGACTTATAAGCATGCATGTGCCGTACGCGCGCCAAATGACGTGCAGCCAGGGGGCTCGGAGATACCCTTCTCACGCATCTTGCGGACGGTGAGGAGCTCCTCGAGCTCGTTCGAGC